CACCATTTTTGTAGGTAAAACCTTCACACCACAATATGAAATTACTCTGGCTCAAATATGAGTTGCACAGTATCATTCAATGTACAATTTGCTGTTCAACCGTTTTTTGCTTTTGGGGAAATGTTATTAAATAAAACATCTGTGCTTTTCTCTCCTCCATACTATGGGCCAGGTCCTCCCCCATTGGTGCTGCATGGAGATGTAGCTGGCCCTAGGATATTGACCATGCCATAACTTGGAGTTTCCACTTTGGTGATGACAGATGCAGTTGCAGCCAAGGTTCCACATGAATTTACCTGATGGAGGCTGCTCAGTGGATGCTCTGAATATGCACATCCACCCGCCACCCTAGTCAAGCAGCTGACCTGGCTAGCGCAACTCATTCTTTTAGCTGTACTGCTCATTATTGCTATTCTATTTGAGGACACACCACTGTGGACTTTTTCCACTGGGATCCTTATGGCCTAGTTTATATCAGAAGAAGTCAACATAAATCAGTAGTGATTCTGTGATCAATTGTACTTATAAACGGTATAAATCATAAATTGTATTAGTACCATGTTCCCTTTGTTCACAAATTCCCACCTCCTCTAGGCTTTGGACTGTGTTCAGTAATTTTTTGGGCTATGCTATCTATGCTCCCCAGGCTCCAAGTTGAGGTTTTAAAGATTTTGATTTAGCTATTTTAAGAGTTACTTTGAAGTGAATTATGACAGCTACTATGTATATTACATACAGTGGTTCCAATGTTTAGAGGCATGAAGGGGGTGGCGAGGGGTTATCAATTGAGCTTACAGTATTGGGCACAGTGAATTGCAGGTACAACTACTAACATTTCAATGTCTACCTGATTTGCAGGCAAAATTAAGTAATTTAACATCTAGACATTAGTATCTATGCCTGTAACTTCACATCCACAATTCATTGCAGGCATCTGCAAAATTGAAGACTGTTTTTAAAAGTCAAGCCCTAAATTTGGGGGATTATCTTTTCGTAACTGAATTTGTGTGATGCACTGGAAGGAGGTTTAGGGCCTATTTGTATCAGTTAAACAACTTACATGGCAAGAGACTGTGGTGTAGACAGCAAACCTTCCATGACTATTTTATACAGGCCAGCACTTAGGAAGACTTTATATGGTCATATTAAGCTGTCAGGGAGCTAGAGAACCAGGGAAAGCTACAGTGTATGTCTGTGTCTAGTAGCTGACAACCAAGTTCTGTTTCTCTTCTTTACCATGGGAAACACTACTAGAATCATATCATTATGTTCATCAGGGTTGTAATTTGATTCAGTAACATGGTTACACCATCACTTGATCCCATCTACACAGGCAAAACCAAACGGATTTGGGATTATCATGTAAATTTGACAGTGTAGATCTGCCTTTACTGGCCAGGGTTTAACTTCCTCTTCAACTAAATTGGCTTCTGAGTGAATCAATTATATCTAAACTGCATTTAGGCACATTGTAGTGTCTCATTTCCTAGATTAGCTACAGTTGTCAAGAATACTTGTCCGTACTTTTTTTCCATGAGAACTTCAACACTAATAGGAGTAACACATGAATTCAGTGGCACATCTGGCTTTTCATTTATCCTAGGGGGTATAGATTGCTCACAGCTGTTAATACATTATCAGGACAATGGGGTTTAGTTCTAGTATTGTAAAGCATACCTCTTTTTCAGCATTCAGGTCATGTACATTGTTGGGCACAAAATCAAAAATGAAGTCAAACAATTTCCCCAGATCAACATAACAAAGGAAAGCCCATGTTAAACTGAGCATAGAAATGTAGAATAGCTCCTGGGAAAGTGTGTTACCCATTAATTATGGAGAGATGGTGTCAAGGTTCCTTCCCCACTCTGAACACTAGGGTACAGATGTGGGGACCTGCATGGAAAACCCCCTAAGCTTATTTTTACCAGCTTAGGTTAAAACTTCCCCAAGGTACAAACTATTTTTACCTTTTGCCCTTGGACTTTATTGCTGCCACCACCAACCGTCTAACAAATATATAACAGGGAAAGAGCCCTCTTGGAAACGTCTTTCCCCCCAAAATCCTCCCAAACCCTACACCCCTTTCCTGGGGAAGGCTTGATAAAAATCCTCACCAATTTGCATCGGTGAACACAGACCCAAACCCTTGGATCTTAAGAACAATGAAAAAGCAATCAGGTTCTTAAAAGAAGAATTTTAATTGAAGAAAAAGTAAAAGAATCACCTCTGTAAAATCAGGATGGTAAATACCTTACAGGGTAATCAGATTCAAAACATAGAGAGTCCCTCTAGGCAAAACCTTAAGTTACAAAAAGACACAAAAACAGGAATATACATTCCGTTCAGCACAGTTTATTTTATCAGCCATTTAAACAAAACAGAATCTAATGCATATCTAGCTAGATTACTTACTAAGTTCTAAGACTCCATTCCTTTTCTGTTCCCGGCAAAAGCATCACACAGACAGAGAGACCCTTTGTTTCTCCCCCCCTCCAGCTTTGAAAGTATCTTGTCTCCTCATTGGTTATTTTGGTCAGGTGCCAGCGAGGTTATCCTAGTTCTTAACCCTTTACAGGTGAAAGGGTTTTTCCTCTGGCCAGGAGGGATTTTAAAGGTGTTTACCCTTCCCTTTATATTTATGACAGATGGTCTTTCAATAGTTAAGGTTGTGATTAGCTTTCTATTCTAGGCCTGTTTTTTGACATTCCCACTACCCAAGATGGTCAAAACTAAATTAATCATCCTGAAATTTCTCATAAGTTATTTTCTTCTGCAGATTTTTTGGGGAAAGTATATACCTTGGCCCTTCCCTTCCTCTGGCTCTCCCTTGCCTTGACTTCCAAGTGCTCCTGCACCAGAATGCACAGGGAGCCCCTGAAGAGTTGAGCTTTCAACTGCAAAGAAGGTGCACAACCTCTCTGTGACCTCTCTAGACCCTGTTTTCCTCTGCAATAGAATTGCACCAGTTTCACATGCTGTGGAGTTCTATACCTCCATGAAGGTTGGAGCAGGATTTTCCTTGATTTGCATAAATGGTTGTAACTAATTAAGTAGCACCTAAGATTGTGTTACTTTTCTGTTGGACTCTATGCTATACAAATATTGAAACATTTGTATAGACAGAAAAACAAATGAACCCACTTATTGAAAGGCCTGGAAAAGTATATGTGCTAGATTTTATTTGCAAAGACATTACACTGGGAATGCCGTTTCCAAAATCACCAGTGGGCAAGTAGAATTAGTTTCTTACCGGTACACTGCACTCATGGGAGGGACATAAAGGGGGGCATGTGACCTCTGTACATGACGCCCCCACGTGACTCCTCTCCGCCCCCAGCCCGGGGCCCCCATGCTCTCCCCATTCCCTCTCCATGATCCATCCCATGTTACCTGGTGGGGGTGGGAGGGCTCTGTCCTCCTCCTGCTGCGCTGGAGACTTCTGAACTGCAGGGCTCTCCAGAACCGCAGCGGCGAAAGGAGCAGAACATGGGGCCGCTGGGCAGCCCCACACCAGGAGCTTCTCCGGCGCGGCTGAACCACCCCCAGCCCTGTCGTTTGGTGGGGCTGCTGTACAGACCCCAGACAGTAGATGCAGCTGCATGGAAGGGCTGGAGGGGTAGGGCTGGGGGCGGTACAGCCACACTGGAGGAGCTGCCGGTGTGGGGCTGCCTGGCGGCCCCACGTTCTGCTCCTCCTATGTCTTTCCAGTACAGCGTACCGGCTACAAATATCTTACTGGTACAGGCATACTGGACTGGACTGCCCTACTTGCATCACTGGAAATTCCTCTCAGTTTTACATTCCCTTGGCTTTCATGTACAAATTAACTGAATAAATTCCTAAATAATGCAAAACCTCAAGCCAAAACAAAAAATATTAATAATAAACAAAAGATTATTTGTATTTGAATCTGATAATTTCACAATGATCATATTTACCTATTGCAGCATAGCCTTGATTATTTTCTGGTTACGTTTGTGGCTAATGAGTCCCCAAGATGCTAGTTGTATACAAACATCTATGACTGTACATTTAAGAAAAGATCTACTAGCTGAGAGCCCAGTCAGAGATGCAGAAAAGAATTTACATTTGCACAAAGATAGAACAGTGAAATGCTGTCAATATTTTACTATGGAGTTTCTACAAACCTTGTCCATTTGGCTTATGATGAACCCCACTTATCAGGGATGTGTGTGTTTGCAATGGGGGAGTCAGTAGAGTGAAAGACTGGGGAATCTATTCACTTATTCTCCCCCTTAAACCAAAATACATTTTTACAAACTAAGAGGGAGAAAAAAAATCACTGCGCAAACAAATGTAGGAAGCTGGAAAGGGCTAAAAATGGCTTTATACTGCACAATTCATTTATATATGCATAGTGAATGAATCAGTTAAGCTATTTGGCAGTAGATGTGTTGCATCAAGCAGGCACTATTCAGGTTGCTAATAACAGTAAATTCTGTGTCTCAGTTTGAAGGAATGTGTACATTGTTCCTGAAAACTATACTGAGTGTTTGGAAAGCATAACGTAGAAGATGACCTATATAACTGGACGTGGGGATAGGAGTTGAAGACTTTGTATCCCCCTGTAAACCTAGCTGCAATCTAGCTAATCACCTCCTCTGTCTGCAGTCTAGTATATTCCAAGGGCAAAACAACTCTTCAAAAGTATTCTGCCCAACTCTTCATGGGGCTCTCAGGTTCCCCAAGAGCCTTTTCCAGCACATAATGAGGTAGAGGGAGAAAGTGAAAACCTGTCTCTTAGTCAGTATACTTACAGTAGTGTTGTGGGGAGAAAAAGGCAGAGCTCTGTTTCTGCCCTCCACGTGCTTGCAAGTACTGTAATGCACTGGGTCATTTATAATTAGAAACATGACTCACTTAGAGCTAGGAACTGCAGCTATGTCCTCAGAGGAAATGACTTTTTCATGCCCTTCAGTTCAGTTCCTCTCCATATTAATGTCACTCTCCTTCTCTCTCATTTCTTTTTCTTCTTTCAGGACCCCAGAGCAGATGTTAAGAAGTGGCTGCTAGCAGACCAGAGAGCTAAGACAGGGCAGACGTTGGCTCCAACATTGTCTCAGCTTCCTGTAAAAAGAAGGAAAAGGAAAACGGAAACATCTTTCACATTCTCACTCTCTCTCCACAAAATGGACCAAAATCAATTACAGAAGAAAATGGTGTGATGTCAGTTAAAGTTGCAGAAAGAAACCAAGATCTCTGTACTTGCCAAGTACTGTTGTTGCTAATCTATTGCTGAAATTGAGACAAGCAAGCACTCTGAACAACTGAGAGCAGGAGGTTTGACAAGGAATCTGGATAAGGAGCAGTCAGTCAGAAGCACAGTCACATTTTGGAGATAAGGGATGGAGTGAACAGTGATAGGGGTTTCATAAGTTTGGGCTTTCTGGAGTACATTTAAAGAGAAAGAGACGACGACACTCAAACAGAGAAGATAAAAAAATAATTTGTTTAATTTATAAATTCAATGTCTGCTTCATGTTGTTAGCAGGAAAAGATCACATGAAAAAAGAGGATGGAGACCAAGGATAAGATCAGGTAAATGAGTTAACCATTGTGAAATACTTTGATTAGTATAAGGTGGCTATTAAAGCTCCTGATGTTGCTCATATTTTCATTGGCTTCAGTGGGAGCAAGATTGCCTGAAATGGACTTTAAATGGAGTTTATCAAAAGGTGCGATTCATAAAGGCTAAATGAATTGCTTAAAAATTACACAATAATGTTGAAGGGTCATATTGTGATCCCTTTATTCACACTGGTTAGCAGTTATTCATGCGAGTACTTCCACTGAAATCAATGGCATACCTTATGTGAGTGACTGCTCACCACTATGAGTAACAGAGTCATAATCTGACCTTAAATTCTCAAGTTACGTACAATATCCTCATTTAGATTAAGCACTTAGAGAAATATATTTGAAAATAAAGAAGATGAAAATAATTTTGCTGCTTCACTTACTGTACCTGCCAAGGCCTGAATTCAGTGTTCTGTTTCTCTGTCATGATTGGGTAACATGGCTACTAGCTAAAGCAGAGTTGGGCAAACTTTTTGGCCCGAGGGCCACATCTGGAAATAGAAATTGTATGTTGGGCCATGAATGCTCAGAACATTTGGGTTGGGGTGTGGGAGATGGTGAGGGTTCTGGCTGGGGATGTGGGCCCAAGGGTGGGGTCAGAAAGTAGGAGTTGAGGGTGCAGGAGGGGGCTCCAGGCTGTGGCGGGGGAGTAGGGTGCGGGGGCGGGGGGTGAAGGTTCCAGCTGGGGGTGCAGACTCTGGGGTGGGGCTGGGGATGAGGAGTTTGGGGTGTAGGAAGGCGCTCTAGGCTGGGACCGAGGGGTTCGGAGGGCAGGAGGGGGCTCAGGTCTTGGACAGGGGGTTGGGACATGGGGAGAGGCTCAGGGGTGCAGGATCTGAGCGACGCTTACCTCAAGCAGCTCCTGGAAGCAGTGGCCATGTCCCCACTCCGGCTTCTACGCGGAGGCGCAGCCAGGCAGTTCTGCGTGCTGCCCCGTCCACAGGCGCCGCCCCTTCAGCTCCCATTGGCCGCAGTTACCAGACAATGGGAGCTGTGGGGCGGCACTTGGGGTGGGGGCAGCTTGCAGAGCGGAGCCCCCCCAGCTGCCCATACACATAGGAGCCAGAGTGGGGCCATGCCACTGCTTCCGGAAGCAGCGAGGAGAGGTCCCCGACCCTGCTTCCTGGCTGGAGTGGCAAAGCGGGGCCATGCTGATGCTTCTGGGAGCCACATGGAGTGGCCCCCAACCCTGCTCCCTGGCTGGAGCGCCAGAGCAGGGCAAGCCCCAGACCTCGCCCCCCAGCGGGAGCTCAAGGGCTGGCTAAAAATGGCTGATGGAGTGGATCCAGCCCACGGGCCATTGTTTGCTCACCACTGAGCTAAAGAGTAGCTTCCCTATAGATACAGCAATTAAACAAGGCCTTTGAGACCACAGCTGTTAATTTAATATTTACTTGGACTCTGAGATGTTGTTTGAAATGTTCTTGCTGTCTGGAATTCACCCCTTGGTGGTAGGCCTTGGTGGTAGGCCCATGCAAGACCTTCTGTCCCTGTGCTCTGTGGAATCCCCTTGGTATACCTGTGCAGTGCAATTGAGGCAGATGGATATGCAGGATCTACAGAGCTGCCACTGCACATTCTGTTCACTTGAGCGGTGAACTCTGCACTGACATGGAATATGCCATTGCAGAGAGGAAAAATGAAAGTTGGTCAGGGTCCCCTGCATGAGACTGTAGATGAGGCTGGGTCATTAGTTGAGTTCAGTCATTAGGCTGAAATCATGGCCATGGAGGGGCTGAGCTGAAGCCTTGTAGCCTACCCTGGGGTTGGTTGTGTTGATGTCCTCTCCAAATTCCACTCAGGCAAACCTCACAGACTTGGTTATGCCGGCTTTATGCATGACTTGAAAATTCTACCCTAAAAACAAGTTATTTGATTTCTGAATTAATGGTGCATTAGAAAGGAGTGAGAAATGTTTCTTATTAATGTTGTGGTTAGTCTGATTTTACTTTGTTCATAGTTTTATATTTCAGTTTTAATTTTTTCATACTTGATTTTTTGTTTGCGTATGTATTTGTCACAGTTAATTATGATTATTTGTTGTTTCTTTTTGAACTCTGTAAAACTTTAGTGCAAATGATATATTCGTCAGTATTAAGTGATTAATTCAAAATCAAAAATTGTCTATCCCTCATTTATCTGATCCGCAAAAAATAGAGACCAAAGCTATTCAAATACAAAGCTTGTACAGCTACAAATATCCCCAGCCTTCTAAGCTGACACCAAGGACTGAAATAGAGCCACATCTCTCAGGCCCCACAATTCCCTGTCCTGAACAGTATCCCTAGGGCAGGAGTTATCCCTCCATATGACCTTAAGAGAGGGAGAGATATACAAGTTTTGGGCATCTGTAGGTAATTTTAAAAATCAGATGAGAGTTGCTTTCTCCACTCTAGATCCTAGAAAGAGTGGTGGAATGGGGGCCTTTTTCCCTTGGTTGCTGCAGTGTGGTGAAGCTCTCTAAACTTTCTCCTCTCTCCAATTACTGTTATATGTAGAGTCTCAGGTAAAATGAATGAAAGAAAATGGATATCAGTGTTGAAACATTTGTGAATCCAAAAAAAAAAAAAGAGGAAAGTTATCTTTTGTCTTTGTCAGTTAAGACAAATTGATGTCAGAGGTCACTGGGTTGTCTGAACAATGTTGCAAATTCTGTGGTTTGGCTGTGGAGCAGGGGTTACTTTTGCACATGCAGCCTGATTATGCAGAGAAAAAGATATCTGAGACACTACAGCAGGGGTGGGCAAACTACGGCCAACGGGACAGATCCGGCCCACCAGCCATTTTAAGCTGGCCCTCGAGCTCCCGCTGGGGAGTGGGGTCTGGGGCTTGCCCTGCTCTGGCGCTCCAGCCGGGGAGCAGGGTGGGGGCTGCTCCACGCAGCTCCCAGAAGCAGCATCATGGCCCCACTCCGCCACTCCAGCCAGGGAGCAGGGTTGGGGGCCGCTCCACACTGTTTCTAGAAGCAATAACATCCCCCAGATCCGGCTCCTATGTGCAGGAGGAGCCAGGAAACTCCGCTCTGCACTCTGCCTGCGCCACAAGCGCCGCCCCCACAGCTCCCATTGTCTGGTAACTGCGGCCAATGGGAGCTGCAGGGGCAACACCTGTGGATGGGGCAGCACGCAGAGCCTCCTGGTTGTGGCTCCGCATAGTAGCCGGAGTGGAGACATGGCCACTGCTTCCAGCAGCCGCTTGAGGTAAGCGCCACCTGGAGCCTGCACCCCTGAGCCTCTCCCCACGCCCCAACCCCCTGCCCCAGCCCTGATCCCCTCCCACCCTCCTCCCCTCGATCCCAGCCTGGAGCACCCTCCTTCACCCCAACCCCTCATCCCAGCCCAACCCCAGATCCTGCATCCCCAGCCTGAGCCCTCACCCCCTCCCACACCCCAACCCTAATTTTCTGAACATTCATGGCCTGCCATAAAATTTCTATTCCCAGATGTGGTCCTCGAGCCAAAAAGTTTGCTCACCCCTGCACTACAGACATCCTGGGCCACAGCATAAGCACTTACAGTATTTTGATTCAGTGTCAAAGGGTATTGATTTTAGTCCCCTTTCTCTAGTTCATGGAGGTTAATTGGCTTGGAGCCTCTACAGTGAAAAAAGGTCACCTCTTTATTTTTCAGAGAGGATTTAATTTCCCTTGGATAAGGCTTTTTTACATGATGAGTGTGTGACCTAGCTGTAGTGTCTCCAAAGTTTCCTTCAGCTTGAGGAGTGGGTTTCATACTCATTAATGCTTCTTTTTCAATCTGAAATATGACTTTTTTCATGCTAAACACAGGGCACATGCTTCACTTTTGCATGCAGAGTAAATGACTCAATCTGTATTGCTTGAGAGCAGATTTTTGCATCAAATATTATCATGTCAATAACTTTTAATTCTGTACCTCAGCCTGAAGTACATAATGGACACTAATAAATTATTAAATTAGGGACTTTGTACAACTGAGATGATAAATAACCAGTAATACCAATTATATAATTTATGCCATTCTTTCTGCTCCTTGCAGGTTCTGTGCAGTTTATGCTTTTATGTACATTTATGTTTTAAAGAGCTTCCATTAGACTATTTTTGCATTTTTCAGGATTCCCACTGGCATCTGTTTCCTTTTTTTATTCTAGCGTTAAGCAATTTTAATTGCTGCAAAAAATAAAAACAAGCGAATCTTAAATATTTTGGTAAGGTATTTTACCAGATCTTCTACTTTGATAAAGTATGGATTTATCGGGCAGAAACAGAAACAATATCTATATATTCATAATTACAATTATGTGCCAGTTTTTCAAACCTGTGTGTCTGAAGTTAGGCATCTAATGCCCCAATCCTGCACAGCTCCAGACAGATAGACACTCCCCGCACCCCGCACCTACAGGGAACCCCTCTGATGACCTTCGGACTTTGCATGGACATAGAGGTTTCCCAGTGTGGAGCACTTTGAAGGATCTATATTTAAATGTTTAAATCGGCACTTAGGCACCGACAAGTTTTCGATGTACTCAGTGGAAAGAAGGGATGGTTTCATGGTTAAGGACTGGAGTGGGACTCAAGAAATCTAGGTTACATTTCTGGCTCTGTCACAGACTTCCTGTGTGGATTCCCAATCTTGTCCTATCTTGAATGTAATCGCTTTAGGGCTTGGCCTATCTTTTACTCTGTATTTGTACAGTGCCTAAAACAATTAAGCTCTAGTGTCAGTTGGGGTCTTTAGGAGATACTACAATACACATAATAATAATAACTAGAGATTTAGAGACTAAATTTAGGCTTTCAACTCTTAAAGCTGTCCCTATATTGTATATATTTGGTACTACTGTATCAAGTTATATTTAGTGTGGTGGGGTCCCAATTCCAAATGCCCCTTCGCAAACCATTAGAGACTCCTCTACTTAAATAAAAGAATCAAATAAAAGAAACTTCCTTCTCAGAAAGGCCTCATTTATCAGTCTTAGGGCTT